TTCCTTTGTTTTAGGGGCTGCGCTAAATACAAGTGGCAGGTAAGGAAGATAGACCCCCAAGGGGATACTGGGTACGATCGAAGACGACGAGGGCGGGTGCCGAGGGCTTGGGCTAGACATATTGATTGGCACGTGAGCAGATAGGAACGAACAGTCTTAACTTGATTGTTGTTGTTGTTGTTGCTGTTGTTGTTGTTGGTGGTGGTGGTGTTGGTGTTGGTGTTCTTGAATTCTCACTTCGGACGAATAATTATTGTTGATCCCCCCCCACCGGTGCATATTGTTTTTTCTCAATCAAAGTGTGCCCCTCGACGCTCGCACCCTGTTTTTTGACAGAGAAAGTCTTCTTGCTCAAACTGGGCCCTTGGCCCCCGGGTTACAACAACAACGGCTCCCGCTTGAGATTTCCTTACAATGTAGGCAGGACCCCCGCTCCCGCCCGAGACTTCCTCGCATTTTATTCGGGAATCGCGCTCTCGCTTGGGACATCCTTACAATTTATTCAGGAATCGCTTTCCCGGAGCTCTGGAGTCGCGCTCTCGCTGGAGACTTGCTCGCAACTTACTGAAGAATAGCCTTGCGTTGGAATTTCTTGCCATTTGCCCAAGCACCGCGCTCCCGACACCCAGGCACCCAGGAGTCGCGCCCGTTGTGGCCCCATGTGCATGCCCTTCGTGGCCCCGCTGTCGCCATTTGTGTCCCCCTCATTGTCCTACGTGTCCCAGTTGCTACCCTCAGTGGCCCCATAGTTGCCTTCTGTTTCCCCGCATTACCTGCACTTCGTGGCCCCCGCTCGTTCGCACCTTTCGTGGCCCCATACGCATTCCCTTCGTGTCCCCGCTGTCGCCCTTCGTGGCCTACTTCGTGCCCTTCGTGGCCCTGCTGTCGTTCTCTCTCGCTCTCTCGCCGTCGTCTTCGACGTCGTCGTCGTCGTCGTCGTCGTCATCGTCGTCATGGTCGGTCCCCTGTCCGTCCCTCTTGGGGTCGGGTCGGGTCGACGGTCCGCGGCCGCTCCGCCGATCAGCGCTGCCGCTGGCCAGGTCGACAGTCCGCGGCCGCCCCGCCGCTTGCCGGGGCCTGGCCTGCAGGGAAGAAAGGTATACACCCCAAACGGGGTTCGATCGAAGACGAAGAGGGCGGGTATCGAGGGTTTGGGAAATACGCGTCATTGGACACTCGACCACATAAGGGCGAACAGTCTTGAAATGATTGTTGTTGTTGATGTTGTTGTGGTTGTGGTTGTGGTTGTGGTTGTTGGTGTTTGTTGTCGTCGCCCCACCCGCGACCCATCCGCGACCCATCCGCGACCCACCCCGCGACCCACCCCGCGACCCACCCCGCGACCCACCCGCGACCCAACCCGCGACCCACCCGCGACCCACCCGCGACACACCCGCGATCCATTACCCGACCCATCCGCGACCCATCCGTGACCCACCCGCGACCCACCCCGTGACCCATCCGTGACCCACCCCGCGACCCACCCTCAAGGGAGTAAACGGCCCTGGGCGTTGACTAAACAGCCCTGCCCTGTTCGATTCATTCCTTGTGTGTTTACCAAGAGGTTTCGCTTGTCGGGGTGATTATTACGGGGTGGATGTTCTGCCCTCTACACCCGCGACCCAACAACGACCCACCCGCGACCCACTCGCGACGTACCCACATTGGTTTGACAAAAATTCAGCGCCTGCGGCGGGCTCGTTGTATGATTTGTGAAACTGTGGCGCCTGCGGCGGGCTTCTCCAGAGTCTCGCAAACTGCCGACGTCCCCACCGCCACCTCACTCTTATCCGCATCTGCGGGGTGCTACGTAACGAGGAAAGAGTGGGCTGGCGAATCAACATATTGAGGATGTCCCTAGCGAAACGTTTGTTTTATGTACATGTGCTGAGGATGTCTCAGGCGAGATGCTGGTTTTACCGAGTTGGGGGATCTCTCGAGCGGGGGCCTCGTCGGGCGAGATGCTTGTTTGAGAATGTGTTGAGCGAATTGCCCGTTTTCACGTGCCCAGGTTGCCCAGGCGGATGTCTAACATGACGATGTTCGGAGGATGTCTCGAGCGAACCGCTCGTTTTCGCGTGTCCAGGTCGCCCAGGCGGATGTCTACTTTGAGGATGTGTTGATGGTGTGTTAAACGAAACGCTTGGTTTCAAGTGTCCAGGTCGCTCAGGCAGATGTCCAGCAAGGGACGGTGTTGAGAACGTCTCGAGCGAGACGCTTGGTTTCACGTGTCCAGGTCGCCCAGGCGGATGTCTAACATGAGGATTTGTTGAGGATGTCTCGAGCGAAACGCTTGTCGCAATAGAGTGCGTCGCAGTCCAACCCCGCCCGTCCATGGGGCGCCCCCTGGCGCCCTGGCGCGCCCCCTGGCGCGTCCTTTGCGACGTTCAGTCGTGACGAGCCTTGGCACGTCCCTTAGCACGCCACTCGGCGTGGCACGTTCCCCGGCTCGTCGTCTGTCGCGTTTCCTTACTCGTCCTCAGGCGTTTCCTCAGCCCGTCCCGTGGCGGGTCCCTTGCAATTTGCATGGCGTCCTTTGGCCGCCCCATGGCACGCTCTTTGGCACGTTCCGTGGCAGGTCCCTGACACGTCCAGGGCACGTCCCTTGATGCGTCTCCTGCCTGACACGTCCCCTGGCGCATCCCCGATTGTGCCCCTGACACATCCTGTAGTGCGTCCGTGAGCCTGTGCCCCGTGTCGTGTCGTTCCTTTTCGGAGCTGAGTCGGGTTTTGAGGTCGAATTGATTGAACGTCCTCCACGTTTCCATTCCAACTAGCTCTGGGGCGGCTACTATGTGCTCAGGCAGCTCGAGCTTAAGATCCAGATCAGTTCGGTCAGGACTCGAATGCCAAGGAGGACTCGATCGACAAGGTTAAAGAGCACAATCGCGGAATAGCACATCGCAGTTCAGCACGGCACAGCACAGCACAGCCCTGGGCACGGTACACCAAGATCGATACACTAAGCATTGTAATTGCCCGTCGCCTAACCAGGTGTCTTGAAAACGTTGCCATGCCTCACGGTTCCATATCGCTTTCCAGGTTCGTGGGTCAATCATGTTTTATCGCGGATCTGACACGGGGCGTCTTCTTTCCTTGAGTGGGGACGCGCGAAACGCATTTTTCCCACGCAGAATGCGATTGTACCTCGTTAGTTATCGAATGGAATTCCGCCAGCCTTCCTCCAACATGGCACCCAGGGGCAAGCTTACGAATTAAACAAAGACCCTGGGCCTCCAGAGGACCTCTTCTGCGCCTAGAGCTCGAAATGTCCAGTCGCGGGTCCCTCGTCTTCTCCCGCTCTTGGAGCCGTCTTAAGCCTCTTCGGCCATCTTGGAGGCCTCTGGGGCTGTCTTGGGGCCCTCTGGTGCCGTTTTGGGCGCTCTTGGAGGCCTCTTGGGCAGTGTTGGGGCGATCCTCTTGGGCCGTCTTGGAGCGCCGGTAAGCCGAACAGGCGAGAACGCCAAAAAATTACGGATAATTGCTAATTTGTTGCCTCTGTGGGCCCTCTTGGGGGGTCTCTTGGAGAACTCTTGGGGCGTCTTGAAGGCGCTTTGGGCTGTCTGGAGGCCATCCTTGGTGTCTTGGATCGCTCTTGGACCGTCCCGGACCATGTTGAGCTCTCTTAGAGGCCGCTTGAAGCGCTCTTGGGAGCCTGCCGGGACCTGCCCGGGACCTGCCCAGGACCTTGCCCGGACCTTGCCGGGACCGTGCCGGGACCTTGCCAGGACTTGCCGGGACCTTGCCAGGACCTTGCCGGGGTATTTTTCGTCTGGGGATCCCCAGGGCGGCCCCGCGCGCGCGAATTGGAATATTGTCATCCAGTTACCGGAGATCTTAGCACGCCCTTGGCCCGTTGGGCCGGCGAACTTCCAGACTCGCTGGGACGATTCTCACGTGGGGTCCGACCATCGGAGCACTTTCTCTTCGTCCAACGGCAACGACACTGACAAACGACCTTCTGGGCGACGAGCGCTCTGGCTGCCCATGTCTCGAAAGTCGAGGTCCGGGGAGGAGGGGGAGGAGTGGGGCTTAGTTCATTTGTGAACGGGGGTGCTATCAGGGCGGGCGATGCGGGCGTTGAAGACAGAGCGCGCAGTTTTCGTGGCCATTCTGGGCCCAAGTCGCGCCGGTGGAATTCCAGGGGGGACAGCGCGCAAGTAAACGGCATTCAGTTTTGGCTCACACCTTCCGCATTGGAATGCAAGCTCCCCTGGTCGTCGCCGTCGCAGAGGGCCTCGATCTCAGTGGCGCAGGGGGCGTCCACGCCGAGGCGGGGATGGCCGCGCCGCCTGCAGATCCCGCGCCACCTCCAGGGCCAGGGCGGGCTGCCGACCCTGGAGTGACAGCGCCAGCGCCGCCAGCGCCGGCGCCGGCACCACGCTTCAGCTGCGGAGGTGTCCATGCCGCCGTGGCCCTGACGACTCTTGGCTTCAATGCGGAGACCTTCGGTGACTTCGCGTCGAGCGTGTGGGGGGTAATTAGTGGACTGACCACCCAGGAGGACTTGTTCTCCGCTCTCGAGGCTGATGTCCGCGACGCCACCTCGGCGACACAGGGCCCTGACGGCCTGCCTCTCGAGGGGCTGGCACGCGGGCGCCTGGCACGTCAGCTGCGTGGGTCGCCAGGGCCTCTCGGTGGCTTTGACCTTCCCCAGCTTAGCGTTTTCGCTCCACGGCGCCCCCAGTCGGGCGTTCCCAGTCGAGGGAGGAAGTGCCGCCGGCGGCGGGTGGCCTCGGCCGGGGGCTTAGCACGATCATCATCCAGTGCCACCTTCGAATCCACGCGGTGGCCCTCCAGCGGCGTACGAGGGCACGTCTCACGAGCAGGTGTCCGCTCTGGCCCTCGCCCTGGCGCAGGGCGAGGCCCCTGCGCGGACTTCGGCACTCGGGGGCCCTACGGGCGGCGCGCCGCCAGATTCCCCAGCTTCCGAGCCCAGGAGAGGAGGAGGAGGAGGAGGAGGAGGAGGAGGAGGAGGAGGAGGAGGAGGAGGAGGCCAGGACCTGTGCCGGCGCCTCGACAGCGTCCTGCGGTGCCAGCCCTCCCACGTCGTCGTCCTGGTGGGCACCGACGACATCAAGGCGGACCTGTACGAGTTCGAAGGCCGCCGGCCCAAGCCGAAACGATTGGAGAAGAGGGGGCGGGATGGTCAGGGGGCAACGATACAGGCAACACTGATAGTAAGGATGAGCGACTCTCCAAGATTTCCCTTGCATCCTTTCCCTTCGGCCCGTCTTTGGCCGCGCCACATTTGAAAATTGTTGGCATGGCCGTCCAAGGTCCTTGCATCCTTATTGTGCATCCTTACTGTCAGTTGTGACTGCACGCTAAGCGAAGAATGCCGCGACCCCAACCCCTTAGGGAGGAGGAGGATGAGGAGGAGGAGGAGGAGGAGGAGGAGGAGGAGCAAGGGGGGAATCGAAAAGGCAAACTTTGCCTCCCCAGCCGGGTCGGCGTGCCCTGAGCGGAGAGGCCCGTCTTCCTTTTCTTGGTTCCGGCGGGCGGGCGGCGGGATCGTCGATCGGTCGCGGCCGCATTTGTCGACAGGAGCGTCGCTCTCCGTTTTCCAGAGGAGCGGCGAAGTGCTTGCGCGCACGTGGGTGTTCGTGGGCTTCGAGAGCGTGCCTCGCGCAAGCGTTCGCGGCACGAGGCTGGCCTCGCGGTCTGGTGGCCGTGTTCCAGGGCGTGGCTGAGCGCATACGTTTTGTCTGTGGGTATCCTGTCTCCTTCCTTCCCCTCCCCCCTTCGTCCCCCGTGCTCTGCTCGCTGTCTCGAGGAGAAGGAGGAGGAGGAGGAGGACGACGAGGAGGAAGAGGACGCGGGGCAGCGGAGGTGGAGGAGGATGCGTAATCAAAGGAAGAGGGTTGCGGTGGCGGAGGGAGGGAGGAGACTGAAGGGGAAGGGGCGCAGGAAGTGGATGTGGAGGAGGAAGATCAGGAGGGAGAGAGAGACAGAGAAAGAGAAAGAGGAGATAGAAGGATTGATCAGGATGGGACGATGAGCTTTCTGGAGCGCTCTGGGAAACATGATCGACCCACGAACCCGGAAAGGAATTTAGAAACGCGAGGCATGTTTGCAAGACACCTGACTGGACGACAAGCAATTGCAATGCTGAAGGTATCGATCCTGATGTGCCGAGCCAAGAATTGTGTTGTGATGTGCCATGCGGAAATGAGGTATGTCATTCCACGAAGAATTGCGTTGTGCATCACAGCGTTGTGGATCAGGTCGCCCTTGGCATCCGAATCCTGACCGACCTGGTCTGGATCTTTGGCTCGAGCTGCCCGAGCGCACAGCGTGCCCAGAGACGGCTGCAGTCCAGGCATGCGGGACGCTCAGTCCGCTCGAGCTCGAGGCCCGACTCGGTTCCGAAGCGGGACAGGGGCGACACGGGGCGCACGCACGCGCCACGGAATGTGCGAAGGGCGCACTGCGGGGCCGCGCCAGGGGGGCGTGGGCAGGGGGCGTGGGCAGGGGGCGCGCCACGGACCGGGCAGGGAGAGCGTCAAGGAGTGAAGCCAGGGACAGCGGCAAAGGACGAGCCGAGGGGCGCGCCGAGCGCTCAAATCAGGCACTGGGCCGGCAGCCGCGGATCCTCATGAATTGCCCTGCGCCCGCGCGCCCAGGGCCGCGATCCTGCGAAGTTACGCTGCGCTCGCACTCCCGAGGCCTGAAATTAAATTGGGTTCGCGCTCACAGAGCGGCGGTCCCAACAACTACGAGGGATCCGGATCCACGCTCTCAGGGCCACGACCTTTCGTAAATTGCGCTGGATGCATGCTCCAAGGGCCACGATCCCTTGTAAATTACACAGCTTTCGCGCTCCCAGTGCCAAGACCTTTCGCGAATTACACTGGATTCGTGCCCCCAGGGCCACGAACCGTCGTAAATTATAAGCACGCTCTTAGGGCTATAATCTTTCGTACATTACGCGGGTTTCGCGCTCCCAGTGCCAAGATCCTTTTTCCCGGAAAGGGCTCGGGCCCAGGGTTCTTTTTTAGAGGTTTCCCCCTGGCCCTTGCGGGAAGAGGGCCAGCGAAATTATTCGGCGATCAACTACGAGCTAAGTCTGAATATTCAGTTGAACAGGTGCGTTTTCCGCGTGCCCGCCCGAGGAAAGTTTGCCCCCCATCTCGGATCCTCGATAAATAGCTGTGTCCGCAGACCACCGTCTTCTTTCTTGAAAAAGAGGATGCGGCGCGACTTGCGCGGAATCCATGAGAAATGGCGAGGTCTGGAGACCCGACCAATTCGTAAAAAATGCCACCGAGGAGGAATCTAACATGGTTGTCCCGAGCTAGGGTATCTAACATGGCGGGCCTGAGCTGGAATCACGTGTTCGCACGTGTCCAGCCCACAACTGGCGTAATGTTCAAATGATTTAGCGCAAGCCGCTTGTAATTTACGGGAGGTTCGGGCCTCGGGAGCGCGAAGCTGGTGCAATTTGCAAAGGACTCCGGTCTCGGGAGCGCGAAGCTGGTGTACAGGTTGCTGGACTCTAGCTTCCAGAGCGCGAGCCTGGCGCAATTTACAGCGCACCCTGGCCTCGGGAGCGAATCTCATCTGATTTACTATGAGTTTGGCCTCGGGAGCGCGAATCTGATGTACAATAACAGCGGACTCCGGCATAGTGCAGATGTGCTGTAATGTGCATTGGGTTCCGGCCTCGGGCGCGCAGACGTGGCGTAATCTCTTCTAGGTTTTGGCCTCGGAATCGCGGAATCTGGCGTAAGTTCAGAAAGGATTCTGGACCCTGGATCGCGAATCACATGCAGTTTACGGCGAATCTGGCCTCGGGAGCGCGAACTCGGTGAAACTTGCAGCGGATCTTGGCACCAGGAGACCGGATTTGATGTATTTGGAAGTGTCCCAGGCCCCCCAGAGATTCAGGCAATGAGACTCGGATGTGGCAACCAAGTTGATTTTCGGCCTCCTTCCCTCACGAGGACAGGAACCATGTACAGCAGGAGGCAGAACGTAGAATTAGAACCTACAGTCAACCCGCATAGTCAGGATGAGCAACTTTCCAAGGATACCTTTGCATCCTTTCCCTTTGGCCCATCCTTGGCCGCTTTCGCTGGCTGCGCACCGCTCGCAAAGTGTCGATATGGCCTTCCAATCCCTTTGCGTCCTTGTCAGAGGAGGAGGAGGAGAAGGAGGAGAAGGAGGAGGAGGAGGGGGAGTAGGAGGGGGAGGAGGAAGAGGAGGAGGAGGAGGAGGTCACTTTGCAGCTTCCAATGGTTGACTGTCTAAGAGTCTAACAGTGGACACTGGAAACTGGTGCTGGCGCAGGGAGCAGGAAGCCCTGAGCCTCGCAGACTGGTGGTTCCCCGCAAGGGGGCCCCGGTGGATCCCAGCTAGATTTTGTCTCTAGTCTTGGTTTCGTTTTCTTCCTCCTGCTCCTCCTCCTCCTCCTCCTCCTCCTCCTCCTCCTCCTGACACTGTCGAGATCGGAATTACGCAGGGTGGTTCCGATCTCGACCTGTTCTGTTTTTCTGCTGGCGACGCGCTTCGGATGCTCGTCTTCTTCTCGAGGACGTCAGGTGGGCCCAAGATCGGTTGGTACGCCCTCCCGGCTAAGTCAGGCAAGGCATCATGTCCACCGAGATCGGCCAAGCCAGGATTGGTGAGGTAGGCAGCTGATGTCCCCCGATCTTCTGGATCAGAACAGCTGCGCCTTCGCGGCGCACGCTCACGAGCGGGGCGGGTGAAAGGCAGGGTAGCGATCGTGCAAGAGCCCTCGCAGACTTGGGTGTGCCCACCCTAGCAAACCTGTGCCCCACCCACACCACACTCCGACGCTATACAAACACACTGCAAAGCACAAAACAACAAATTCGGAAGTTCGCGCGGAGCTGTTGGACTGGCGATGGGCCCGCCCTGGCGGCGCTTCTGGCGCTGCCCCCAGCGCGCCCCGCACGCCGGGCGAGTGGGGTCCAGCGCCGACCCCAATCCGCGCGGACCTTCGAATGTTATGTCCCTGTAGAACTATACGGTTCTGTGTTTCTCCAGAGCCACCGATTTGTCCACCCGTCCGTCCATCCATCCTCCCTCCCCTCGCCCGGTTCGTGTGGCGCTCTCCAGCCCTTGCCTTGTCAGTAAGTTTAAGCGCATCCATGACTCGGCCCTTGGCGCCTCGTGGGGACAATCTGCTGACCTGGTGGCGGCAGGAGAAAAAAATAGCAAGATGCACGTGTGGCATAACATTGAGCGCGATGCTACTTAGGGGAGCGCAGACGCGTGCGCCCCTCCCATGCGTCCTGCTCTGCCGCCTCGTCGATGTCCGCCTCCCCGTCCTATTCTTCCTCATCTTCCTCATCTTCACACCCCATTTCACGACGCGTGGAGGTATCGGTAGCTGACGTCCCCCCATCATCTCCAGAACGCGTGTTTCGGACGTGTTTTATACCGTTCTGGGTAGCGCCAGTGGGGGGGACCACTGTGTAGCCCCCCCCCGTCTTCGTCATATCTCCTCGGGTCTTTCTCCCTCACCTTCCTTAGCTTCCGCCCGCTCCTCTTTCTGCGCCTCCGCTCGTCGTACTTCCCTCTCCTCTTTCCTCCTTGTCCACGTCCTCCTCGTCCTCGTCTGCGTCTGCCCCCTTAACGTTCCCGCACCTCGTGTTCCTATCTCTCTCCTTATATCCCTTGCTCTCCCCTTTCCTATTTTCTCGGTTGCTGCCCCTGATATTGTATGATTCGTCCTCTTCCTCGTCTTCATGTCCCTCCTATTCATATCCCTCCAACTGCTCTTCCCCATCCTGCTGGTGTTCCTGCTGGTGTTACACTGCTGGTGTTCCTGCTGGTCCTCCTACTCATGCTGAAAACTGCTCATACCTGCTGGTGTTCCTCCTCTTCCCCCTCCTGTTCCTGCTGGTCTTCTTCCTGATCAAAGCACTTCTCCTGCCCGTGAATCTCTCCTCCCTATCGTTACCCCTTTCTCCCCATTCTCTCCTGTTGCTGCTTCTCCCCCTCCTTTCATTCCTCCTTCACCAGCACCTGTAGCTAACTCGGCTCGAGTCGTCGTGGACGTGTCAAGTCATTTTGTGTGTCTTTCCTTGTCCAGCGGATTGACTGCCCAATGGAAAGTCATGCGGCGAAGCGGC